CAAAAGTTAGTTCTTTGGAAAGATTTACAACATTGACAAATCTTTAGCTATACTGACCAAAAAAACAAAAAACAAACAAACAAACAAAAACAAAAAAAACTAAAAGATGCAAATAACTAAAATCAGAAATAAAAGTGTAGACATTACTATTCACCTTACAGAAATAAAAAGGCTCATAGAGAATACTATGAACAATATGCCAACAAATAGTATGCCAACAAATTACATAACCTACGTGAAGTATGATAATCCCTAGAAACACACAAATTACCAAAACTGACTGAAGAGGAAATAGAAAATCTGAACAAACCTGTAACACAACAAGAAAAGAGATTAAATTAGTTAAAAAAAAAGATTATGTCTTCACCTGTGAATTCTGCCAAATGCTTAAAGAAGAATTAACACCAATTCTTTTGAATCTTTTTCAAAAAAAAGAAGAGAATGAAATACATCCTGATTTATTCTATGAAAGTAATATTGCCCTGATATCAAAGCTAGACAAAGATGTCATTACACACCAATTAATGCAGATGCAAAAATCCGTAACAAAATACCAGCAGACAAAATTCAACAGCTTATTAAAAGGTTTATGCACCATGACCAAATGGAATTTACCCCAGGAATCCAAGGATGGTTCAACATAAGAAAGTTAACCAAATGTAATGCAACATTTTAATAGAACAAAGAAAAAGCACGTAATCATCTCAATCAAGCCAGAAAAAGCATTTAACAAAATCCAATACTCCTTTGATCATTTGAAAAAATACTCACAAAATTAGGAATGGAAGGGAATTTCCTTAAATTGAGAAAAAACACTTATGAAAACCCCAAAGTTAGCATCATAGAGAATTATGAAAGACTGAAAACTTTCTTCTAAAATCAAGAATAAGGCAAGGGTTCCCACTTTCATCACTGCCATTTAATGTTGCATGAGAAATTCTAGCCAGAGCAATTAAGCAATAAAATAAGTAAATAATTTGAATAGACATTTCTTTGAGTAAGATATACAAATGGCCAATAAACACATGAAAAGATGCTCAGTATCATTACTCGTTAGGGAAATGCAAATAAAAAAACACAATGAGATACCACTTCACCCCCACTAGGATAGATACAATTTTTTTAAAAGGAGAATAACAAGTGTTGATGAGCATTACATTGTTGATAGGAGTGTACAATGATGCAGTCATTATGGAAAACAGTTTTGCAGTTCCTCAAAATGTTAAACATAGAATTAACACACAGTCCAGCAATTCTACTCATAGGTATATTCCGAGAAGAAATGAAAACAGGTACTGAAACGAATTATTGCACAGATTATCATATCATAACAGCACTATCCACATTAGCCAAAAGGTGGAAGCAAGCAAAAGCTAATTTTATGTTACGTAAATTTTATGCCTCTGGGTAAGTGTGTGTGTGTGCATGTATGCATATGGATGTGCATGTGTGTTTCAGAAAAAAGTTTTAAAAGGTTAAGTCTTGTTGCACATTTTATTTTTCTAAAGACAGGAAATATTAAAACTTGTTAAACTTGGTAAGAATGTTTTCCAGGCAAAATGGCTCAAATTTGGAAATGATAATATTAATTTGGATGCCAAAGAATGCAAATAGTAGTTATTTGGAAAGTTCCCCTCAGTGCGGAACCAGTAAGAAACTAGGACAATTGTCAACAAATTATTTCTGTTTTTCAATCTTCAGTTTGATCTCTAGGAAACCAAAATACCCATTTATCCAGAAACAGCTGATAATTTTCTAAATGGCATCTGGTGGTGGGATAGACAAACTAAGCTAAGGTCAAGGACTCCATGGGTTGTGATGTAAAGTGGTTATTTCAGCATAAATCTCCAGGTGGAACAACTTGTTTTCTCACCAACAATCTCCTTTGCTTTTAAATCACAATACTAGTAATAGTAATAGCATCAAGCACAGCAAACTTGTATGAACTGTTTTCAGACACTGAGATAAGAAACATTGCATATATTGCATAACGGAGCACTCTCAAAGAGTTGAAATTATGCCCGTTTCACTGATGGAGAAACTGCTCTCAGAGAGGCAGTTTTAAACCAAGATTTAATCTCTACATTCTAAAGAGAAAATCAAATTTACCAACAAGCATTACAAATGAATATAATGAGTTTCTCCCACGAACTCTGCAAAAATGCAAGCAATTGTACTGCAATCTGACAATCCACTCACCCCTGCTTTTCTGATATTGTTGAAGGCAAAAACATCCTTTGTCCTGGAGCTTCACCATTCAATACAGTAGCTTTTAGCCATCTGTGGCTACTTACATTTAAAATAATTAAAATCAAAAAATAAAAATTCAGTTCCTCAATTTCACTACCCATATTCCAAGTGCTCAACGTCAAATATGACTAATGTCTATCGTATTGGTCAGCTTAGCTATAGGACATCTTCATCATGACAAAAAGTTTTAGTGGACAGCGTTGTACAGAAACGCTATGCCACCAAATTTCTGATGCTAGACTGACAATCTTGTGGCTCTTCTCTTCTGATTACCTTCCCACATTTTGGCAAACAAAGTGTGTGAACATGCAAGTGTGTCTGCATATCATGCTTCAAAGAGCTGAACTAACAAACTGAGCTTGTCCATAGCAGCTCTGAGCAGGCATGGCACAAATACTCCTGGCCAAGTTGATTTATCTTGATGTTTGGTTGAATTCCTCACATTTTGGTTCTCTTTGGTAACCTTTTCACCCCGTTCTTTTTTAAGGTAGCTGGCTGTTATAATTCATCATGAACGCATCTCACTCCAGGCCTGGCTCCCCTGACAGAAGGAACAGCCGGTCTTCAAAAGGTCAAAGGCAATTTTCTCCTTTCGTCTTTCTCAGTTTCCAGCATAGATTTGTCACTCTGAGAAAGCATGAATTCTGGATTTGATGTACTTTAATTGATTTCACCCTCAACAAGTCAGACTGTCCATCAGCTCTCTCCTTGGGCTTCCCTGAACTTTGCTTAAGGCTAAGGTTTTCATCCGTCTCTGGAACCAAGCTGTCACCAAGCAATTTACTCCCCTTACCAACTCTTCAGGACCCATCTCGTTTTCATTCCTGTAACTCTCCAGAGAAAGAGGAAGAGATATGCAGGAGAGATGGTAGAAGTGAAAATGAAGGCAGAAAAAAAGAATGGATAATGGATGGAAAATCCTTTTCCTTTATTGCCTTTTTTGGTGAATTTGTCAGATTGTTTTCCACAAATTGTTAATGGGGTGAGATCAGGGAGAAAAATGGGTGGGTGGATGAATGAATGGATGGATGCTTTGATAAATTGATGGGGGGGTGTACAAATAGACACACAGATAAATGTATAAATAAATGAAAGAATACCAGGCACAATCACAAATAACTTGATTCATTAACAGATCTTAAAGTTTTTTATAGATTACTCTGCATATGCCAGAAACAGTTTTAGGTGCTGGAAGGATGAGAAAACATATGAAGTCCCTGTCACCAAAGAGCTCACACTCCAAAAAGAAAGGAGGGCATGCAACAATAAGAAATTGCAGGATAGATTATATTAAGGATATTTAAAATACTGTGAGAACAAAGGGGGAAGAGTGAGTCTCAGAGACACCTCATGGAAACCCAGTAAATAATGAGTTTTAAATGAATAAATTAATGTATGTCAAAGTATTTTCTGGGAGGGGAAACCCAAGTTGCTTATTCAAGACTATTCCTAGGTCAAATTATAAAGCATAATATGTGGGTGCCCCTGAGTTCTCTCTGTTTTCCCCTTACTCATGTGAACAGCATAGGCTCATGTAAATTTGTATCTTCCTTCATGAAGAAACATTTAGGAATAAAGGCACCAGGTATGATGGTGCACACTTTTAGCTCCAGTTGCTTGGGAGGATGAGGCAGGAGGATTGCTTGAGCCCAGGAGTTGGAGGCTGTAATGAGCTCTGATCGCGCCACTGAACTCCAGCTTGGGTGTCAAAGTGAGACCTTGTCTCTGAAAACATAAAAAATAAAAATAAAAGGAGTAAGGGATTAATTAGATCTATTACATCTCCCAGGCATTTGTGTATTTTGAGAAGGTTTCCTAGACTAAGATTCCTCGTAGTAAATAACTTAGTCATATATTCCATTTAGCCTTCGATTTTATCTCCAGGAAACTAAAACACCCAGTTATCTAGAAATAGCTGATAAGTTTCTAAATGATATGAGGTGGTGGGATTGACAAACCAAGCCAACGTCAAGGACTCCGTGGGTTGTGATGTAAAGCGGTTGTTTCGGCATAAATCTCCAGGTGGGCCACCTTGTTTTCTCACCAACAAAGCCTGGTATGTAATTGTTGGTTTGTGTCATGATGGAAAGAATGTCCACCACCTTCTTTCTGAAGCCTGGAGAAGACATTTGTAAAACCTGGGTGCTGTCCGTGGTTCTAAGGGCATTCCGGCATGTTATGGATTTCTAGTATGAAGAACACAAAGAACACCCAGTATGATAATGATCTCTTGTACGAAGTTCTTCTAAAGGAACTATTTTAGATTGGCTACCAAAAGTTCCATAAGGGATAATGACTTTGAGTGTGAAGATAACCTTACTGAAGAGAAACGTTAAGACTTTAATCCTGAGTTCAAATCCTACCTTGGTCACTTCTCTGAGCTGTTTTGTCTTCTATCAAATTCTACTTTATATAATTATTGAAGGAATTGCCTGAAATAATGAGAGGAAGTAGAGGATAATAGTAAGGCTGGGCGACAATGCACGTCCATTCTGATTGCCACACTTTGTGACCTTTCTCCTTCTGTGTGTCGGTTTCTTCAGTAATAAAATGTGGTTGGGATAATAGTAGTACATATTTCACAGAGTTATTATGTGAGAATCAAACAACTTAACTTATGTGGAGTAACTTGGAATAATGCTTAGGACATAATAAGAACGCATTAAATGCTTGTTGTCGTTTGCTATTATTAGATCATTTCCACATCATGGGTTATCATGAGTCTGGACCCTTTGTTAAGAAAATCCGGCTTTATCAACAATATTTATTCTTTCAGTTATTCTTTCATTCATTCACCCAATTCAGAAAATAGGTACCCAAGATTCACTCTCTTTCTAATCTTCCCAACTACCAATTACAGAGTCAAACGTTTATATGGCAGGATTCCTCGACAAACACTCAAACTGGATTAAAAGCTGAATGTTGTTATTTAAGGTTAAAGTTATTTAAGAACCCTTCCAACTTTATTTTTATAAATTGAATTGAACTGAATTGAGTGTGCTAACTCCATTGGTGCAGCATCTTTGAGCTTCCTTTGGTTCTGCTGATATTTTTGTTCTTGAATTATTCTAACGGATCCCATTTTTAGTGAGATTTTGAGAATGTTAAAATGAAACAGCACATAAAGTATAATTTCAGTTTCTTCCATCTGGGCCAGAAACACAATAGGTGTGTGGCAATTATAAGTGAAGGCAGCAATAAATACATGCATGAATAATGTGAAATTATTTTAGCTTCTATATCTGTTTTTGTTTGTTATTAATTTTAAGATATCAGAAGCAGAAGAGCAGTAGGGGTGAATAACTCACCAAAATTCCAAGTTGGCTTTTAAAAAGTTTGTGAGGGGGTACTAAATAGTAATGTACCCTAAGCTCTCCTTTATTGACTTCTTTATTTCCTGGGCCTCCAATTCAGGGATTAATCCATCCAATTTATTTGCTTTAGCCTCAGAAAGCAGTCCCACTTTCCACAAGGACAAAGGCTTAGAGCTGCTAGAATGAATGGCTCTGGTTAATTGATGTATCCAAAGTCTGTCTGTACATCAGCCACTCCATCTGTCTGCCTTTGCTTAAAAAGGCGCCTTCCTTAACTCACGCTTTTTGTATTTTTCCATGAACTAGTTCTACATTTTGGGAGAAGGAGCCTGGTTGAACAGTTCCATCTTCTTTCCTGTTTCAAAAAGAAAAAGAAAAACAATCATCCTGATCTGTCAATTTGAATAGAAGTGTACTTTAACAAGATCCTAGGAGCTTATTTTCTGCCCCATAGCAAGGTACTCATTGTGTAAGTTCCTGCACTTGTGGATTCTGTGAGGTGCTGACATGAAGTCACAGTCTAGAAACCGGTGGCAGTTTTTAAAATGTGTCTTAATATTGGCTGCCTAGATACTTTTTAAAGCAGATTTATGCTGCATTTTAAAAATCCATTATGCTACATTATGAGCTTATTGTCCATCCAGATAATATTGATCAATTTTAGACTTCCAAAATCTGCATGTATAATTGTCCCATGCAATCAAAATTGTTTATGTGTGTAGTATTTTGAGACATTTATAAAATTATAAATCGGAATTATTTATATATGCCACAATATATTTGATTATGTTGAATGCCCAATTTATATCACCATTCATTGTCATTTTTTCCTCTATTTCATAATCTTGGCCAGTGACTTTACTTTTCTCTATAGAAGATACTTCTCAGACCACTCAAAATTACTGTCTTTGACAGATTATTTTAAAGTAGCACATCTTATGTGGTATGTTCATAAACAGTAGAGTTTGTTCATTATTTAAAAATTTGGCATTAAAAGAGACTAAAGAAAAAAATTAAAGTCAACCTTAATTGCGTCTCTTAGAGATAGCCACTGTTATTTTTGTCAATTTTATTTTAATTTTTGTCAAAATTATTTTGGTCTGTATGTGTGTATATGTTGCATGTATATGTTGTTTGTGTGTGTGTATTTAGGTGTTGAATGCCCGCCAGTTAAGATCATATTACCTTTGCAGTTTTATATCCATCATTTTTCCCACTCAACTTTATATCATGTGCAATTTATTCTTTTAAATATTTTTCCAAAACACAAAACTTTTAATAACTACAAAGTATTCCAGCCTATAAATGAGATGTAATTAAGTTAATCATTGCTAATTTTTGACACACAGGTATTTTGCAATTGTTTGCTGGTGTGAATAAAGCTATGACAGACATCTGTATGCTCTAAGTCACTTTGCTGATTGAGTTCTTATATTTAAGTTCTAGAAAAAGAATTTAAGACTTTGATACCCATGTTGTCAAATTCCTGCAGCATCTCTATGATAAAAATTATCTTCTACTCTGTAGTTGATTGAATTATTAGCTTAGATTTTAACTGTGTTCCTCTATCTATGCCCCTTGCCATCTAACTTTGCAGTTAAGTGTACACACTAAATGCACTTCCTCATCCACTGACTTTCACATCCATGTGAAATAAGTCACATGAAATAAGCCATGTGACTTATTTCAGCCAATGGGATGGTAACAGATGTGACATAAACAAGGACTTGAAATGTGCTTGCACCATATGGCTTGTCTTCTTCTACCTCCACAATCTTTATGAGAAGTGCATGTCCTAGATAGATCATTGGTCCCAAAAGGACTGTAGATGTACAGAGCAGAGCTAGCCAACTGGATTGAGGACATAAAACTTGATGCAAAAGCTATTCAGTTAAGCTTAGATCAACCCACTTCCAGGCAATCTGCAGATACATATGAGCAAGCCCAGGTGAGATCAGTAGAGCTGCCCCTAAGGAATTCGCAGATATGGGAGAAATCAATGCTTATTGTTATATGGCACTGGGATTTGGTGATGGTTACGCAGCAATAACTAACAGATATACCCTTAGTAATTTAATGAGAAATTTCATTTTTCATTTAATAACAAACAAATGATGGCAATACAACATAGTGGTTAATAAAAGAGTCTTGGGAGCTATCTGGACCTAAGCTTGAATGACCTTAGGCATATTGCCTCCCGAAGTGCTGGGATTACAGGCATAAGCCATCACTCTTAGCACAAGAAAATAAATGATCAGTTACCGAGAATTTTCAGGAATAAAATAAAAAGAAGGATGTAGTTCACAGTGATAAGATGATAAGATAATGAGATTGAGTGGTCAGGAAAAACCTATGTTCTCTTAGAACTATAGTTCTCTATGTTTATTGGGTCTCCATTATTTTTAAAAATCTGATGGATTCTATGGACTCTCTCTCCAGAAGAAAAAGAAAAACAAAACAAAACAAACAAACAAAAAAACATATACACAGGCACACAGGGCTCACAGGCATTGCTTATATTTTCTTGAATCTCTGCTTTAGACACTCATCTAAGTCCTATCTTTGGCCATGACATCCTGGTAGCAAAAGCAGAAGTAAGAAATATTCACTTCTGTATTGTCTTAGAACAAATTGTCAAAGCATACCACTTCTCTGACTTGGAAAAAACAATTGTCTGAACTCTCAATAGCTGGTGTCTGCATGTTTTGACAGAGGCACTATGTCATATCGTCTCTGGCAGAGGTAGCTTGCTATGTAGCAGAATTCTTGCTGCCTCTATGATAGTTTAAAGTTGGGATTGGGAAGCCACTCTCCACACAAGGACTATATTTCCCAGCCTATTCCCATTTCCTTCTTAGTGGTACAGTGATGGGACTAATTCTTGCCAATGAAATGTGAGCAGACGCCGTGTATGACACTTTCAGACCAAATCTTTTAAGAAGCCTTCATCTTGCTATGGTTTCACTTCATGCCAGCTGAATGCCGGTGATTATCAGAATCAAGGGAAAGGTGAAACCACACGATAGAGGAAATCTGGATTCTGAAATCACTACATGAAGGAAAATTACTCACCAACTAGAAACGTTCACATATTTTACATGAGCGACAAGTAAACTGAAATGGTGTTAAGTCACCAACATTTGCTATTACCCCTAAATGATATTTCCTAAAGTGTGATCCCTGAAACAGCAGCATCAACATCACCAGGGAGCTTGTAAGAAATGCAAATTCTCAGGACCCACTCCAGAAGAACAAAGTCAGAAACTCTGGAGGGGTGGGAGGGACCAGAAATCTGTGTTCTAATTGGCTCTCCAGGTGACTGGGAACCACTGCTCTAAATACGTAATACAGTGTCTACGAATGGGGTTTATGAAATCTGATTTCCTTGGTTCAGATCTTGGCCCAACCACTTATGAGCTATGTGATCTTGGGCATGCTACTTAACTTCTAGTGTCTCAGTATGTTGCTAGGTATGGATACCTAAGGGTAGATCACAACAGTATCTAACTCCCAGGCTTTGACATGAGCATTAAAGGAGATCATCCATGTGGAGGGCTTACAACAGTGTCTGATGCACAGTAAGTGCTTAGAAAACTTTAACTGTAGTGTTTATCAAACTGACAGCCAAGTCTCAACCCCAAAGTTTGCATTAAATGGACTTTTCATTTACCCCCTCTGCTTAACGCTAGTCCCGGGCATGCTTGAACCATGGACACATCTGTCCTGGCAGGCATTCATTCCATCAGAAAATGATTATGGAGGTCCTTCCATGTGCCAGACATCATGCTAGGATCCAGACCTGCAAGGGAAAACAAGGCAGACTGGATCTCTGCCTGGTGATAGGCCTCTGACCTGGCCAACCTCACTGTGGCCAGACAAGCAAGGACAGTGAACAAACAGGTGGCTGAACTGGGCCCTGAGGGAGTAAGACCAACACATTTTTTTCATTGTGCAAACTTCTGGCTGATTTTCTTTTTTCACCCATGCGAGAAGATGCCCTTGCTTTTTCCAACAGCCGCCCTGCATGCAGACTAATCTTTGAATCTATGTTCTCTAAGCTGCTTTAAAATATGATGCTCAGTGGTTAATCCAAAGGCTGTAGAAAGAGCCCTGATGCCAGGTGTAAGCATATTTTTAAAGAAGAGGGGATACTTTCAAAACTAGCACCTGGGCCAGCCAAGTAAATTCCTCAATGAAAAATGCATGAACAAATGGAAGGCTGGATGCCTCCACTTTGATTCTTACTCAACTCTGATTGGTCACAGGTTTGGCAGTTTTGTTTCATTGACCAAATGATACCTGTCACCCCCTCATGAGGACTTGCACCTGCCCTTAAATGAACCAAAGCTGCCAGCTCCCCTCAGCCCCTTTGAATGCTCTTTATCAGCTTTAATTCTTAAAGCCCTAGAATTTGTCAGCTTAGATTCCCCACAGTTCGATGGGCAAAGGGGTGTGTGCTCCAAGCAGCCTGCCAACTTCACCATCACAGCTGCAACTCTCCACAGACACTTTGCTGTGGAAATGCAAAGAATTTTACAAAAGAGTCACCCTAACCTCACATAGTCTGTGAACTCCAGTCCCTCCTGTTCTTTCCTGTTCTTTCACAGGAGATCCAATTTCTCTCTGACTCAATCTTTGCCAGGGCACAAGGTCAACTGGCTGGCTTCTTATACTCCTATGGTCCCAGATGTATAGAGTGGGCAAGAAATGAAAAAAATTAAACAAAATCTATGCCCATAGCAGACATCAATAATCAATTACAGGACTTTTATACCTTGCCTAGATCCATCCTCCAAATTTGTGAGTGCTCCAGACAACCATCACTAATTAATCTTGGTGGTTATTTAGACCTATTTGCCATTACAATCTAGACTAGCCCTTATACAGAAAATAAAACAATAAAAGCAAGAAAGGAGAATGACTTATCCATCTTCAAACAGCATGTGTGAGTCAAAATTTAGATTAGAATTCAAGTGTTCCTAACTTCCAGTCTTGTGCCCTTCCTTATACCAAGAGTCCATCAGGCCCCTTGAAATATCTGGAGATCCACTCCACCTCTCCAGATTAAACAGTCCTAAATAAATGACCCATGAAATGTCCTTGGGTTCAACTTTCATCTCCCACCAGTGTGCAAGATAAATGGTGTATTAGTCAGCTATTGTAGTAATGCTGCATAACAAACCATCCCACAAATCCAGTGACTAATAGCTACAAGCATTTATTCTCACATTCATGGGTCTGCAATCAACTGTGGCTCAGCTGATGTGGGCTTGACTTGGCTCCATGACTCCACATGTACTGCATGTGTGTTTATTCTGGAGTCTTGGATAAAAGGGCAGTGACTACCTGAGTCAT